CCCCCGTCCCGGGTTTCCCCGACACGGAGCCAGAGGAGCTGGAGCTGCTGCTACTGGTGTTGGTAGTCGGGGCGGGCGCTGCGGCGGAGCCACGAGGCATCAAGGGAGAAACCGGGGAACCCAGATCGAGTTCCCGGAAATCGGGCTTGTTAACGTTGTCGTCATCTCGTCGGAGACTCAGTGAGTCGCGGAATCGGCCGGTGATGGAGTCAATGACGGGTTCTAGCGAGAGTCTCCTAGAATGCGACATTCTCGTACTAGCTACCCTCCCAGGACAGGAAATCTAGTTCCCTCAGCTTCGCTCAGAAACGGCCGAACGAAGGAGAAGAAGAAGAAGAAGATAGAACAAGACAGAGACAAGTACTGTCCGGAGAACAGTTCATGAAGAGAGAGAGAGAGAGAGAGAGAGAGAGATGGGAGGAGACGGCAGATCTCGTGATATATAGAAAAGGAGGAAGCAAAGAATGAATGAAGAGGGTAAAATCAAATAAAGGATTTTTCGGGTTAAATCAAGTCGAATTAATTATAATCATTCTGTTTATTATTACCTTTAATCTTTTTATTTTTCCCCCTCAGATTATGACAATTGATCTGCTTCTGTTGTTCCTCTCTCTCTCTCTCTTCTTTCCCTCTCTACTCGTGTAGCCAAGGGAAATACGACGGTTCATGGAATTTAATTTCTGAAACTACATATTATTTTTTGGCACTTTTTATTAGAACTTGATTGACTTTGAACGCAACACTAAACAATTCAAATCGGTTATCTTAAAATAAGAATTGTGGATAGAAATTAGAATATATTTACTATACATCAACTTGTTATATCTTTAGGTTCAATCCCCTCATCCCTCCTTATGGAAAAAAAAACAACCATGCATTCATGGACGGAACTAGAAAAATATTTAAAAAGGGTATAAACTTAATTTCAATATTGTAATATAGGAATATTTAGTAGATATATTTTATAAAGAAAGTTAATATTTTTTATTAGATCAATGAGGCAATCATTTAATTACAAAGTTTAGAAAAATAATATATTTATATTTTCCGATATATCATTCTACTTTATAAATTTCTAGATTTGAAAATTATTTCTCTTTTATAAAAAAAAAAATTAATTTGGCTCAAATTTTTATGTTGTGTGGAATATATATATATATATGTAGCTCATATAGTCACACATTTGCGCGTGTGTCGTGTCATGCATGTTCATTCAACATGTACATGTATGCAAATAAGCATTTAAATACTCCATGTGTACAAATAAATACATATATATTATATATCATATTAAATTATACGTGTCTTTTTTTACACGGAATTATACATGTCTAGTTCGAAAAAAAAAGGATAGGCATGGCCATCATGCAGATAAAAAAAATACCCTCTCAAAAAAAATCCCGTAGGATATTCAATATGTGATGTGACTATTTTTTTATGGTTTATTGTTTTCATATATATATATATATATATATATATATTATTTTTTATT